GTTACAATTGAAAGGCTGAAACGATCAATTTTACTTTAATTTTTTTATGAATTTTTCCATGAATTTTTAATTTCATATATATATATATAGTATGTTAAATCTTTAAATAATTAAAATTAATAGAATACATAAATAATTTTTTAAACACTAAAATAAATATGTATATAGAATATACCTATATTAAACCATATTATTGAAATTTTATTTATATTGAATTATAGCTAGTGGTGTTTTGTTTATATATCGGTTCTTATGTAGACTGCGATAAAAAATACTTATTTACCTATCTTCAGACGTTTGCCGCATTTCTTAATTTTCATCGCAAACGAGGAAAGAAAAAGTTTTTTCGCACGGATGTATTAATCTCGACAGGGTTACATAGAGATTTCGCTAATTACAGTCCCGAGTAAATCATACTTTGGACAAATAAGTAAAAATGCAAGACTGGCGCTGGCAGAAAGAAATAGAAATAAACGACAGGAAGGAAGGACGACTCCCTTTCAAGGAAGCGTTGTGAATTAGTTTCCATTTGCTAATTACATACGGAGTAGCGAGAGAAAAAGAGAAAGATAGAAGCGCGACGAAAATAATTATGTTTAATCTTGCAAAAATTAAAAATTCCGAGATGACTGAGAGAAATTTTTCTTTTCTCCCTGCAAGAGCTGCACGATTGAAAGTTTACACAACTTATTATTGACTTATTATTTTCTTTCCTTTAATCTTATGCATCTTATTATAAAAATTATTTTTTATAAAAATTTTAACAACATTAGATTATAATAATTTAATTTATATTTTAATTTATATATTAAAAATATATTTTTCTACGTATTATAACATTTCATGTTTATGTAAATAAGATTGCGAAAGCATCATTTTTTATTTAAATTATATCTCATCATTTTTTTAAAGAAAAAAAATGTCTTGTAACTTTTTTTGAAAGATTTGACAATAATTACATAAAAAGTTTGACGAATAATTTGATTATAAATTACGAAATGTTAAGGCGCGAAGTACTTATGTTTTCAGATGAGTCACCGTCTAGTGAAGGATTAAAAGACTGCAGAAATGCGAGAGATATTCGCGTTAAAAGGGTGCAAAAGAAAGCAGCGTGAATCGTGAAAACCTTCGCCCGGTGCTTTTCTCGTTGCTTATCTCTCTGGCAGATACAGCTCGCAGCGTTGTTGTGCAGCTAGTGTTGAGAGGAAAAAAAAAGAAAACGAGAAACGAAACGTGCCAGCAATAGTACGTTATCCGGTGTGTCCAAGTAAATCGTGCAGAATACATGTATATGCGCTTCTCATTCGCTATACGTGTGTCCGTACGCGCGTATTCCTCGCGCTTTTAACGAGCAAACTTTCGACAAATAAATTTCGTGAATCAGCGCGCGTTTCGCCTCAAGGAGGTGTTCGTTCGTTCGTTCGTTCGTTCGTTATGCGGCCAAGAGATCCGAGCTCTATCTGCGTGCTCTGTAACTGCGAATGAGTTGCAACTGATACATCTCCGGGCCACTCTGAAAGGATAGATTTACATGGTTGACTGTGCCACTCTGAACACTTTATTTCGAATGACTTCGAAATGAACGAAAGCGAGAGAGAACGAGATTATTGCTTTTTAACGGATTAATTTTATGGAAACAGATGGATTAATTTTATGGAAACTTTTGACTCTATTTAAAATGCTTGAACAATATTACAGGGATTTGACAGGTAATTCTAATATTCGGACAGAGCTTCGGACATTCTTTGATATATCCCTTTAGAATATAATAGCTCATAAAATTGAGCAAGTGTTTGGAGAATTTAACAAAATTGTTGGTTTATTCAGTTTTACAATCGTGCTTTGCTTTCTTCTGATATAAAGTATAAATGATAAAGATCATATACCTATGTATGTTATATATATTCTCTTTTTTGTTTTGTTATATTGAACATTTATAATTTTTATAAAATTTTAAATTTTATCTTGTAATTTTATCTTGTAATTTTATGAATGAATATAATTCACATGATTTATTGTTTGCCAACGTTTGATACAAGCCGATTTAACATATAAAGATAAATGTACAAGAAATGTTTCTGATAAGTAAACTAAATGAACTTTTTTAAAATGCACGACATTTTTACGTTTACATTCACATTTTTACATTACATTTATGCAGCGACACATTTTTGGACATCGGTGGTATGTCGCATCTCTATGTGTTCACGTCCGAACATAATGAAAATATACAACTTTAAATATCCTTTAGAGTTGCACGGTTGCAACTCTAAAATTGCAACGCAAAATTGCCTTTGTTATCGGTGCATATATTTGCCCACGAATCATTGAATGGACATTTATTGTTAGGCTAAGTATATGTTATCGATATACATTTATGCATGAAGTAGAAGTTTATTTTAATTAATTATTAGACGCATTTTTTATTTCTTCTAGAAATTTATTTTATTTTGTCTTCATCTATCATTTAAATTCACTAGATTGGACTTTTCTTACACTGAAAAAAAATTTATTAAATTCGAATAAATATTTATTTCAATACTGCCTAATAATTCATTTATTTGAATCAAAAAGCAAAGAGACTTGTATTATGCAACGCAATAAATAAAAATAATGCAAGACCAACTTACGAGCAAACGAATGGGTGTTATATAACCATAAAAAACTTACCTTTTTTAAAAAAAGGTAAAAAAAGGCGACAAGTTTATAGTAAAGTGATAATAAATCAATTAGTAATTACGCGATGATTGTAATATGCATATATAACATTTGTAATATGCATATATATAAAATTTTTTTTATAAAACCTTGACGCAAAGGCGACAAGTTTATAGTAAAGTGATAATAAATCAATAGTAATTACGCGATGATTGTAATATGCATATACAATATTTGTAATATGCATATATGTAACATTTTTTTTATAAAACCTTGACGCAAAGATTTTATATAATCACAGAAAAAAAGTAATCCTTGATTCAAGTATATTTTTAAAAAGGTACAGAAAGGCGACAAGTTTACGTGCTCATGTGAAAAGTGTTATACAAAAAAACTTGCAGTGTTTTGAAATTACTATAAAAAACTGCTCTAAAAAATAATGTCATTTTAATTTTATACAATATATTTTTATTGTACAAAATAATTAAATATTTCTAAAAAAAAATAATGATATCAAAAATTGTGACAAATAAAAACATTTATACTATAAAATCTTTTATTATAATTATTTTATTAAACAATTTTTTTTATAGAAATATTTCACAAACAACAATTAATTAAACATATGACTCATATATTGTAACGCAGCAAATTATATAAAAAGATCAAATGGGACGAACGATTTATGATTGACAATAATATCTTATTTGGATTAAAGAGTATGATAGAAAATATATATCTCATTTGATATTATTGTCAACCATATAATCACTCGTCACATTTGGTCTTTAGAAATATTTTAACCAAAAAAATAGAAAAATTTTTGTTAAAAAAACTTGGCGCTGCTAAATATATTGTTAATGATCCTTATTGCATTGTTTTTATTTTTTTAATTGTAATGCATTCAATTTTTTTAATATCTTTATACAATTTTTTATGAATTTTTGTTTCAATTATTATTTCTTTCTTATATGTCTCTCTTTTATATTACATTTTCTCTTTATTTTTTTTCTTATTAAATACATATTTCTTTTAAGTTTTACATTTCAAAATGCACTATTAAGTACAATTTATAAAACTGATTAATCAAATAAATAACGGTCTGTAATATAATATTATACAACACAAATAAAAATATAAAAATAATGAAATACTACTATGAACATATTACGCGTATTATAGTATGATCTATTTTTATCATTTCATTTAAAAAAATAATTATAAGAATAAATCGCATTGCATATTATCGTAATCGCATTCAACTGCCGATAAGGAATAGTCTATATGTACTTTATTTACCATTTCTAAAAAGATTTTAAATACAATAAAAATACAAGTTAACGCTCATGTAAAATTTAAAATTAATAAAACATAAATAGTAGGCTAAATAAACGAGCAAAATTATTTAGATGTAAGGATAATTAAAAATTATTTATTTATAATAAAAATGTAGACATTTCGATCTTACTAGGTCTTTATCAATACAATCACATAACCGCAAGTATGAAATTATAAAATATAAAGAAGAAATTTAAATATAATCTCGCAAACTACCTAAAGACGAACTTCGATTATCATTCGATTTAATTACAATGATTGAAACAACTATTTTTATAGATGTTTTATGTTTAAGACCATCTCTCAAATAAATGCACGGAGCCCAAATTCGTCGTTGGACAGAGCGAACAGTCTGCTCCGGCATCTTCGCGAGATGAGTCCCATTTTTTCAATCCTTTTTTCAAAATAGATATGTTAAAAGGATTCTAATGAAAAGCACTTGGAAAATACAAATTTGTAATAACTTACATATTGATGTTATATGTTAATTGTTGCGACTCAGCAATTCAAATAAGGAATAAGGCGTGTCATTATTATAGCCTGTTTATATAGTCAATAGTGTTGTCAGTAGTTAAAGGTTAATTTGTTTTTTAAAAAAGTGTTAGATAATTCTTCTAAAATGTCAAAATAACAGTTTCCAAGAGATTCGATGTCTTTCTTTAAATTTATACTATTTTTATGTTTGTTTATGTATAACATTTCAGAAATAAGTCTTTTATTGTAGTTGATTTCGTGATCTAATATTTCAGTCCCTTCCCAATCAAAAAAGTGTGCTTTTTATTTTAATTTTTATTTTAATTTTTTAAATAATTTTTATTTTATTACATAAATAACCGCATTTTTTATTTATTAATAAATTATTTAGAATTGAATAAGATTCTTAACATTTTTAAGGAACTAGGTGCAGAATTAATATCAACGTTCCTGAGCCGCAAATAACAAAGAGTGGGATAGTTCTTATAAATATGCAAGCCACTTGTTAATCATATACATTACGATCTATGACTAGCTGTGTCGCTTTACTTTAAGAAATTGGTGCTAATAAATTAAGTGATACGATATTTAGTTTATCAAGTTCACATTTCCGTACCAAAAGCGATAATAATCGATTATTACAGTAAGTTATACACACATATTCATATATTTGTTATAAAACTTAAATCCATTTTAAACGATCTATAAAGTGCGTCAAAGTTTAAAACAATTTTATATATATTCTAATTTATTTATAATTGTTGTAAATGATATGGGTAAAATGATCAGAACAACTGTTTCATCTTTAGTCAAAAAAGATACATCAACTCGTATATATTTCTATCGACACATGTTTTATCTAAAGCATTATGAAATGAGTACATAAAAATTGAACAGAACGGAAACTTATACAACTAGAACAGTCATCGAATATATAAAAATAAAAAATGCATATATTAAAGACTCAAAGTGCAACAAACAAAACTAACACAAAATGGATTTTAAATTACGCGATACGATGCAATTTAAAGTTCGCTTTAGACAATTTATAATTTTGACATTCAAAATTTAAAATATAATTTTATTTAGAATCTCATATGTCACGCATTTTAACGTATATGTGTGGCCTGGTGTATACATCAGTATACACATGTATACATATCACGTGTATACATGATATATACATACACATGTATACATCAGGACACACATATACATTAAGATGCGTTACATATAAAATTCTAAATAAAATTATATTTTAAATTTTGAATGTCAAAATTATAAATTGTCTAAAGCGAGTTTTAAATTGCATAGTATATCGCGTAATTTAAAGTGTTAGTTTTGTTAGTTGCACTTTTTATATATCGCGTTATCTTTCCCTTTCTTTCTCTAAAAATTTAATCCATTTTTCAATAGCCGCACACTAAAAAAATTATTAATAAATATTTATTTCAATACTGCCTAATCAACCATTTATTTGAAATAAAAAATATTTATCTGCCCTAACAGCACGCATATTCAAAAAACATTCAGAGGATATCTAGAGGACATCGAAGATCCTCTAGATATCCTCTGAATGTTTTTTGAATATGCGTGCTGTTAGGGCAGATAAATATTTTTTATTTCAAATAAATGGTTGATTAGGCAGTATTGAAATAAATATTTATTAATAATTATGTTTTGATTTAGAAATTTAGAAAATTTTTTTTGAAACACTCCAACAACACAACATATCCGAAAGTCGTTTAGAGGATATCTAGAGGATCTTCGATGTCCTCTAGATATCCTCTAAACGACTTTCGGATATGTTGTGTTGTTGGAGTGTTTTGAAAAGAATTTCTAAATCTCTAAATCAAATAAATATTTTTTATATCAAATCTATATTATCAATTATCAGTCGTAAATCGTTATCTATATTATCAATTATCAATTATCAGTTATAAATAAGTGATTTATTAAGCAGTATTAAAATAAATATTTATTCGAATTCAATAAATTTGTTTTCAATGCAAAGAATACTAATCTTATAATACAATAACATAGCTAAATAATAATTTTGAATAAAGAATAAATTTAGTCAATAAGTTAACAAAAGAGGAGAGAAAGAAAAGGAGAGAAAAATTAATTGCTTTTACATTATGACAATTTTATCCAACGCACTATACTTATTATTCCGCGATATTTTTTTAATAATTTATAATCATAAATTTTTATAAAGAAAATTTAATGTTTTACTCCAGATGTCTTTTGCGAAAAAAGTCATTCTGATATCAGGAGCCGGTTCAGGAATTGGAGCGGCAACGGCTCTTCGATTTGCTGAGCTTGGCGCACGGCTGTGCCTAACTGGACGCAATAAAGATAAATTAATAGCAGTAGCCAAACAGTGCAGCAAGGACCCACAGAGAACGTTTGTCGTAACAGGAGATCTAACTAAGGAGGACGACGTGAAAAATATTGTCAAATCAACGATCGCGCATTATGGCAGATTAGATGTTTTAGTTAATAACGCTGGAATACTAGAGATCGGTGGTATAGAAACTACAAATTTGCAACAATTTGACAGGTCTAATAATAATGAACTAAGTCTAATGTATCTATAAGCCTATCGACATGACACATCGATAATAAGAAACTTAATAAATATTTGTGTATGTGTGTGTGTATAACCAAACATACAAAACATAACAAAACAAAATCATGTAATTTCAGATTGTTCAACTTAAACGTTCGCGCAACATATCAACTGACAACATTGGCAGTGCCGCATCTAATTCAAACCAAGGGTAACATCATTAATGTTTCTAGCGTTGCTGGATTACGAGGTTTCCCGAATTTCCTGCCATATTGTATGAGTAAGGCAACTGTGGATCACTTTACGCGTTGTGCCGCTTTGGATTTGGGGAAGAAACAAGTATGCACCAGAAAACATTCTTTCTTCAATGGCTTATTATTACGTTTATACTTATTATTTATTATTTTTAATGACTCATTATCTAAAATGTACTAGGTGCGTGTAAATAGCGTAAATCCTGGTGTCATAAAAACGGATCTCTATAACAACAGTGGAATGAGCAAAGAAGAGATAGAGAAGTTTTTCAAATATTTCGAAGAGAAAAATCCGTTAGAAAGATTGGGCGATGTAAAAGATGTCGTAAATGCTATTACGTTTTTGGCGAGTGATGATGCTAGTCATTTAACAGGCATAACATTACCTATAGATGGAGGTCTACAACTTATGTGCTCCCTATAAAAATCTTATATGTTATATTGCATAACAATGTGTACTATATTTACCATACACATATAATGTTACATATATGTATATCATATATACGAGTTTAATAATATATTATAAAGATTAAGCAATCTGTACATTTTCGTCTATTGTTAATTATTATATTAAATGGTTTCAACAAAACATATTACAAATGTTTAAAATTTATTTTGTATTTTTAACTTATATGGAAATATAATTAGTTGTTACGTCTGTCATAATTTTTGTATAAAGCAAGTTACATTTGCATTTGTTACATTGCGTTTGTGTCCACAGCACAATAAAAACAAATAAAAATAAAAATATATTTTAATATTTTTTTCTATTGTATGTTATGTAATGTTTGTAAAATAAACAGTTTATAAAATAAATTAAAAATATTTACAATTGTTTGCTAAAAATATGATATGAACAATTTATCTCTAACAATGTTTTCAATTTTATAAGCTTTCTAGAAAAAGTTAACGAAGATTATAGTGTTAGTAATTTTATTCAGACTTTATAATTTCAGACCAATCTACTTTCAAAAGGTGAGAGAAATTATAATATACCTGTCTCGATTTTTTGTCTTTATTACGTTTTATACGCAGATGTCATCGTGAAAATCAAAGATACGTATAATTACACACTAAAGTCTTATTAATTTTGCTATTCAATCGTACATTGAACAATTGCACACGAAGGTATCCTCTGCGCATGTTTTCGCATAATCTACACATTATATAAAAAAACGCTATATCAATATTCATGAAAGTATATAGAAAAATATGAAAATATATTTAAGTTGAAAATCCTTAATTATAATAATAATAAAAAAATAATGCGAATACTTATTTAGTCAGCTCCCTTTTAATTTTTAAAGCCACAATCTCCACTTGTAATAAATAATAAAAAAGTTAAAGTAATTACAGTAATTAATGAAGCTATGTTTAAGGAAATTCTACTACTTTAAGTTATGTATATAATTATATCTATTGTCATAGATATAAAATTCGGTTTTTTTCAATTTACTTATCTTTAAAGAATACTTATCAAGAGTAATAAAGCATTTAAATGTATAATTGCATTATAATTAGTTCAATGTTATATCATAAAATTTTCAGTACAGATATAGAAGTAGAGTATGTTATCATTACACTATATTTAAATTGTAATAAGTTTAATTAATATGTATTTAAGCAGTTCTCATTTAAATTATTACATATATTATATGCAAGTATTTATAGTACGTTATGCAAATAAAATATATCTTTTAACATGAATATCAAAAGTAATCCTAATTAAACGTACAATATTTTAATTATATTATAATTCGCGATACAAAAAATTTCCAAATTGTATATTTTTCAGATTCTTCTCAAATTTTCTTCTCGTTAAGTTTTGCTGCTGCTTTACTTTACAATCTCGTATTGTATACATGCACTAACATGATATTACACGATCTTTCTATATAATTATTGATCTGATTGATTATCAAAGTTTATAGTCCACTAATAAGATTTAGTTTCATTATTTATTCATTAACTTGCATTTTATAATAAAAAGTTGATTTTGCAGCATTGGCAGAAACGAAACTTTGATGAAAGTAACGACTTTGTGCGCAACGGAATATCGAGCTGCATCTCGCGACTTTAATACTTCAACTTCTACCTTCGTTCCGTCTACCGGATGAAGTTCACTTGTCTTTCGTTAACTCCATGTCGACGCAAAGCACAAGCAGCTTAAAAACTAATAAGTAACTGTCACCCGGCCGTGTCCGCTTCTCCTTTCTTTGTCCCGCTGTGCATTTCTCGTATCGCTCGCTTTTCTTCATTCCTCACGTCATTATTTTATTCTTTTTGCTATCCAAAAAAAAAACAGGACCTTTATCTTGCTCTATATATTTTATTTTTGGCTATATACAACATGTCTCATACAAAATAATTTAATAGTATATTTTAAAGATAAAAAATATTTGGGATATTGTGCAATCAAATATGTGTTTTTTTTTTTTTTATTTTTACTAAATTTTAGATATATTAATTTATATTGTAGGAAAACAAATGTGCATGGAAGTTCGGGCAATAAATAAGGGATTAAATTTAAGTGAAATCTCTTGAATAAAAAACAATCGATTTCAGTTTTATTTATTTTAGTTTCGCGCGGCCTATACATTTCGTATATATATATATATATATATATATATATATATATATATAGTATATACCTTCACAATCGAAGGGGTGGCTAATTGCGGGAAATGTATCTTCCCCCTCCGGTAACAAAATTCGCTCATAGCCCACGGAATGGCTCGACAAAGCTAATTCCTCGCCGAGTTTCTCGCTTCTAAAGCCGAAGTCTCATAAATTAAACGGAATCTCTCGATGTCCGCTAAGATTTAGTCGAAAAAAAAAGCAAGCCGCTCACTCGCGGGTGAATTATTTTGCGATCTAACAGTCTGGATTATTGCAATATTAACCTCTTCTTTCGACGAGATTCTAAAGCTTCTTTCGCGAAATGATGATAGATAGATATCTTAGCCGCACACGTGGTGATGAATAAATCCTCAGCCATAAAAATATAATGATTCGCAATTTATAAAGATTTTCGGCTAATTATTAGCGATTCTAAATTATTCGCGTGGTGCGAAGATTTTTTAATTGAATTTCATAGATTTCTCTTGAGAGATCTATCGCCTTTTCCGCAACATTCTTTCGCAAGAAATTGGCACGTCCGATGCTCGCGATCCGTGCACGTCGGTTCGAAACGAGTGTTTAAAAGAGTGATACGTTGGAAAAGAACGTGATAGATACGCGCGGTAGGCGGTGGTCGAAGTTACACCACCCGCCTACATACCATGGCAATAAAATGAATTTATCGATGCCGCAAAACGGCGGCTCCTTACTCGCTCTCCTCCCGCGGTCGTACTTCATTTTGCCGATATTAAATGCTGTAAATTCAGACCGCCACCTCTATCCCTCTTCTCCTCTTTGCCTACTTCGTTCTCCAGCTACTACCATCACCACAGGGTGTTGGAGAATCGATGGAATTGTGTGCATGTATGTGCGTATAGTATGTATATATGCATATATATATATATATATATGCTCATATGCAATGAGTTGATATCATATGTCATCGAACGCGTCTTGACAGCAGCTAATATTAACACGTAAATAAAAGATACCTACATTTTATTTAATACGAAGTAATTTAAAATAAAATATCTGTTTCATGATTTTAAATTATGCATAAAAATATGGAGATTTCTTAGACTTTTTTAAATATTTTTTTATAGGTATTTTGATAATTGTCGATATGTGACATTAGATCGTTGAAAATGGTTTAAGATTAAGAAAAATGTGACATCAATTTTCAAATTTTCAAAGTTGACATTTTTTTTGCAAACAAAACTTCATATGAAAAAATCTCTTTTTGTTTTTAATCTTTTAATCTTCACCGTGTTTTTCTATAGTTTCCATAAATATGTTTTTTCAGATTTCCGGACTTTTTATTCAATTTCATCAAAAAAGATTACTCAACAAATTATGACTGATATAATCTGAGAACTATCTAAATATCTTTTTGCGACTATAAATTTTCATTTTGTATTAAACTTTTAAAACTGGAAGTTTGAACACAAAAGCAAAATTGAATATATCAGTTTTGATGTTACTTCTTTATAAGCTACATTATAAAGCATTATGGAGCAAAAAATAGACACAATTCTACTTTTCAACTACATCATATTACAGCTACATTATACCACAGTAATTATATTACTTTATGTCTATATTACTAGGAAGTAAAATAATTACAGGTATATGTGATATCCAAATATCAAATTATGTTCTCATTATGCATTAGACTAACACAATTACATCATGCTATTATCACATGACGTTATTTGATCAACGTGACTATCGATTGAAAAAGAGCTACTACCGATATCTCGCTATCTCGTGAAGCAACTTATTAGATCAAATCATGATGCATCGCGCAAATGAATCGATTCGCAGTCGCTGCATCGTGCTCGGACTTCTTGTTAGAACGCTTCTGCCTTCATCCGAGCGCAATATCGGCGGTTACTTAGTAATCAGACTCGTAAAGGCGAGGTTTACGACCGGACGAACTTACGTAAAAAAAAAAAAAAAAAAAAAAAAAAAACCCCAATCATATCCGCATGCAACGATGGCGAGAGGAAAATAACGAGACGCCGCCACGTGCAAGCACTCGGGGCATCGTTGCATAAAATTCGTTGCATCGAGGCCAGGAATTTTCGTTCGATCGAAAAACCGAGCGGACATTGCGGATTTATGTTGTAACTTCGTGACGACAACGAAACTCGAATATTAAAATTGCGTTTTATCGCGCGATTTTAATCGAGAAGCGCGACGCGAGAGCACACGTGATTTGTCTGCACATGTCAAATTAATTGAAACGATATATAAGACAAAAATATATCCTTTTAAATAAAGCAGAAATGTACTATTATAAAAAACAGAGGAAGTTTCTAACTTATACATGTATAAGATAAAAACTTTCTTCTAGGTAAAACAAATTAAATATAAAAAATTATTCTATAATTATAATATGTTATAATTCTGCTACGCGGATTATAAGATATAATAATAAAAGTATTTCCGTTTGAGAGATTTATGTAATAGTACATTTGCTTTATTCAAAAGAATGTCTTTTTGTTTTATCTGTATAACTCTGTATTATATTACGAGAGTTATATTACGGAATGTATGTAACGTCAACAAAAAAAAAAAGCTATCACACACACATACACACATTTTAACATTAACATTTTAACGAAAAAACTTGTATTACAATATTTCACAGGGGATTATACAGTAATGAGAAGAGCAACGCACATGAAAAAGAAAAACATATTGCACAACAATTTGATTGACTTATAATTAGTATTGAAAATTACAGGCAATCTCGATATATGGATGCGTGTTATTCTTTTAAATATTAACATTATATCTTTCGTTTGCTTTTCTACAAACAAAAAAACAGTCTATTGTACATGATCATAGTAGACTCTGTCGGTCCGAATAATCCTGTTCTCGCGAAATGCAAATAAAAAAACTGCAAGTTTTTCCCGAGACATACATACATAAATTCACTACGATCATCGCACTTTTTTTTTTTTACTCAGCTTTCTGCTGCGCTATCTCCGAACTATGTGTGCGAGCATAAACGAGCATCGTTACGCTTGCATCAGCATCAAAGGCAAATACGACGCGTGGAGAACGAGGCACGTGGCGGCAATTTTCAGAACGCGACAGGGTGAGGCATATGTGTCGGACCGGCCTTTATCGACGCGGGGATGCAATTATCAACCCCCGCATCTATCAAACTCTTGCATCCGGATTTTTTATGAAGTCGCGTTTTAAAACGTGCCATTTTCCCGAGACGAAAAAATTCCGATGATTCCGACACTTTTTGTCAAATGATTAGACATGCAAGATACCGAGAAAACTAAATTTTTCAATAAAAATAATAATAATAATAATATAATGAGATGCAATTTAATTCGACCAAAAATCTCATTATTTGTGAAAAATTTATCACTGGCGATCAACAATTAATTGTGAAAATAATAAATAATAACAAGTATACGCTAGTTATTGCGCTCGGTTTGATCTGATAAAATTGAAAAATCGAAATAAGTCGCGTGATACTGCTTTCGTTTTTTCCTTCGAGAACTTTAGCGGAAAACTGTAAAAATAATCAGAGTTAGAAAACACCTTGTATGTAAGATTATTCGAAAAATTGTCTGTCACAACCTAAATCTGTTTTTAAATCAGAGGTTCATATTCAGCCAGCAAAAATGAACATGCAATAGGATCGGGGAAGATCGAGAGTTCTCGCGTGTTGGGAAGATTTATCACGCAATATAATAAAACAGCCGTAAGCCATCGTTCTACAGGCGCCGTTTCTCCCCCCGTCGAGAGAGAGAGAGCGATATTATTAGAATCGCGATTGCCGGCGTGAATCGTACCATATGCAGCATCGTGCGAAATGCAGCAGCAGCAGCGGCAACACATATGCGTCTTCATTGAAGCAACGCAGTCCGTGTCGGTCGTTCACCCTCGTTTCATATGATGCTAAATACGAACTTTCTTGCCTCATGGAATCAAGTACTTAATACATTATCAGTATTAATCAATACTAATCGGCAGATTTGTATTATTGTAAAATTTTGCAAAAATATCATATCAGTCATAATAACGAATTTATGAACGTAGATTTAATAGATATATTTTGACCGAGATAAAATTAGCAATGCTAAATAAAGCAAGATTAACTGAGCCGATAAATAATATATTTAAAATTGATACACTGATTAAATTGTTCCTCTACGTTTTAATGAAATAATAACATAAACATAAATCAATGAAACAAAGAAATAATATAAATATTTAGAGAAATATTTTATTATTCTTTTATATCGTAAAAAGAGTGCGAATCTATAATGTTATTAAATTGATATTCTTTCGGAAAATAGTATTTATTAAACAATGTTTATGAATAAATACAACAGTTATATTTGTCATCTTATATAATAATTATAGCAGAATAATATTAAGTCTATTTATTACATGACATTATACATTCTTAATTATATGAACAAAATGATTTGAACGATCCTCGAATGTCAACGCAAACTGTGATTTTTTTACTGATTATGCAATATAACACTGCTTACTATATATAAAGATTTATGGACTTGTAAAGATTTTATATATAGATTTTTATAAAGATTATATAGCTTTATAGATTTTATAAAGCTTTATATATATTTTTTAAAATATAATAATTCTTAAATATAATAATATTTACAAATGAAATAATTCTTAGCACCTTATCGATATTCAAAAACATTTTACGATAAGTTTTTAGGATAGAAGTAGTATAAAAATTCGAATCATCACTAATTTAGAAAATATATACTTATCATTATATACAAGATATCTCATTATTTTAATCAAATGTATAATGAGAGATGATATATAAATAGATCATATAATCATGATATATAAATATATCATCATTAATATATGAAAAATGTTAATGACTCTTGATTTAAAATTCCTAAAATTTGAAATATTCCACAACATTGATTGTTATTTAGTTATTTAAATGTTGATCATTAAACATTTATAATGAAGGTGTTAAATAAGATTTAAGCAAACTTAAATATTAAACGTGAAAACGCATCTGACAAATATTAAATTAAACATTGGCATGTATTTACATACGAGCCATATAAGGTCCATTAACACTTTGCGCATAATTACAATCATTAACATAATAATTAAAGTTAAATCGTTAAATCTAATTAAAGGGCTAATAAAGTTAAAAGGGAACGAAGCGAATATTATTATAATGTCGCTATTTACAAGTTTCTTTTCCTCCAATATATTTCAACACTTAAATACAATTATTTTAATTATTCTTTCTTCGATTAATAGTCAAAGTACAAAATATATTATGAAAAATAGATTTACAATTTATGATCGCATGATCATTAGATTTTCTCAAAACGCATTCGTACCTCTGCTGTTTTCTACTATTCGTCTCCTCTCCTTTAAAAGCTCCAAAAATTTGCCCTCGGACTACCAGGATATTTTAGTTCCATACTCAAAGATCCCACGAATCTGGAATTCGGTAACTCGAGCCTTAAACTATCCTTTGATCTCTGTGTAATTTTTCGCGCGATTTCCACTTCCGCATTGAATGTTTGTCCAGCCTCGAGCGATTTCGCAGGATCTATCGAACACTCAGGATACTCTACTCTTGTCTCGAAGATGACCGGCGCCTCAATTTTGAACGGATTACCATTTTCTTCCGGCAATTCGTTGTTCTCAGAATCGATCGATGTTCTCTTCAAGCCGATCTTTTCCATTTGATCGTAAAGTTTTGTTTTTCTCAAATTCCAGGGGCTACTCTCGATTCCGCGAATGTCATCGGGATAATCTTCGGCGGCGGAAACTTGATCGATATTAAGGATTCCACGAGCGTCCCGTCGGAAAGTCTCCCTTAACTTGGAGTAAGTTGTCGGGCTTCGCGACCTAAGATCGCGCATTTTCCAGAGGCGTTTCTGTCGGTATTGCCTCGGGCTCCGGTACTCGCTAAAATCGCGCATCAACTCATCGAAAATCTTGCGCTCGAGATCATCCTCCGGGATGACATCGCCATCCTTATCATCGGAATCACGATCATCGATTTGAATCCGTCGCTCCGTCCCCTTTAACGCGGACTGTTTCGTGACGTCAGTTCGAATGGAAGACAAAATGGGCAATTTATGACTTTCAACGTCCTTAAAGCTGGACATCTCGGAATCTACGCTGAGACTCGCTAAACTCGATTTAGCGCCAGCAGACTCGACGTCGATGCCGTATCTATCTCGAAGGATCTGGTTGTGCTTGTCGGCCTTGTCGATGCACGCTTCCAATCTCTCAATACCCTTCAGACATTTCACGTAGGACTCGACGGCGACGACTTCGTTCTGTCGCAAACACTCGTCGGCCGCATCTTTCAGGCTCACTTTGCGTCCGCGAAACTCCATGTGATCTTTATCTGTGCTCGGTGTTTTTCCTCGATTACCTCCTCGTCTTCTGTGACGCTTCCCGCAGCTCTCCAACATGTTCACGGCACTCATGTACTCGTTGATAGAGTTCAAGTTGCGCATGAAGATCATCGCCTCGTTCAAGTACTCTTCAAGAATGTTTTTCTTCTTCGACATTGCGGGAAGGTCCTCGTCGGAGAATTCAATCTTCTCGTCGTTTACCGCTTCTCCAGAATCCGCAAAGTCTTCATCCTCTTTTGAAGCGGACGAGACTTGCTCGCCCGTCGTCGATTCTGCCTTTCTGGATCGGTCAATTTCGACATTCGATCGGACGATGTCCAAGTTTTCGGTCTCAGCTGGTTTCTTCAGCTTCTTAATAATGGACTTTACAGCTACCGAGTTTCGCTTCAGCGCCAAGACTTTGCGGTCAACCACGACGTCAGTTATCTCTTCGGGACTGTTGGGATTCGAAAAGGATACCTTCTTCTTATCGATATTATCAGATTGATTGGCCGCTTTTACGCTCGCTTCTTCTTCGGAATCGCTATCTATGAGGTACGATGATTTACCTAGAATCAACGCCTTGTAATCCTGTATTGGATTCTTGTTCAATACTTCGACAGACTTTCTCTTCGGGAACTCCATCTCAGTACCATCGAACTCGTCTATCGATGCTTCAATTTCAATCGAATCCGTGTGATTCGCCTGCAAAGCTTCCTTCTTCGTGTGGGCGACAACATCTGGAGGACAAACACTCTCATAATTCTTACACTTCTGCGTATCCATCGTAACAATTGATTTTTTCGCGACATTATCTTCTTCATAATCAAGACTGTCGTCCGAAAAATTACAATCCACCAGAATTTCCTCGATCAAAGCAGATTTCTTCAAATCTTGGAAACTGTGCTCGAAATCTCGATTGCATGATTCATAAGTCGATTCTTCTGAAATTTTATTGACCAAAGTACATTCGCCGCTTGCTGTAGAAGAAGGTAAATCGCCAACTAGAGATATAGCGTTTTGCTGCGCGATAGGCGGCACGATCACTACCTCTCTGCCGTAATCGCTAAATTCTGAGCATGGAAAAGTCCAGTTCTTCCATAAATCATGACAAGCAAGGTTGTGCGACGGTCTTCTGGGACTCAAACTGCAACTGCGTCTCTTAGCGACGAAAGCTCGCGTTAAGTCGCCTTTGAGGATCGACCGTTTTCTTTGACAAGAATCCTCTTCGTCCCATTCCGTCTTTGTGTCATTCTCCTTCGTCTCTTCAATAAAGGAAGAAGTGCCCAGGGAGCTCCTCAAGACCATCGATTTCTTCGTTACGGTCTCCTTCGTCAAATCGGAAGCTGCATCGCGACAGCTATTGCTTCTTGGATCCTGAAAGATGTTTTCAATCCTGAAGACTCTGCCGTCCGCCTGAACGGCCGTCGATCTCACTGTAAGATCCTTGAAGAAAGACCCTTCGGTCTCCCTGATCTGTTCCGTCTGAGATTCCTTGTCGCTAGAATTAGGTCGCGGGTTCTCTTCCACGGCATCGCTACCATCTGTCACAGCAATCCTCGACTCCAAACCGTTTGTGCTCTCGATGGTTATGCTGATCATGTCCGGTAGAGATATGGAGATGACATTTTTCTCGGGACTGTTTGCTGGCACGAGCTGGCCGATCTCGTGAATCAAAGCACAGCAATGGTTGTGACTTCCGCTCGCTGAGCTTTCCTTCTGTCGACTCGCTACTTCCCGTGTTCCGCTTTCCGTTTGTACCGCCGAGTTCCTACCGGATGACGCGAGGAATGTATTGGTCGAGCTGTCTGTGCATGGTATCCTCCTGTCAGCTTCTGGATAAAGCTCGGACATCTCGGCGCTGGATAGATTACTCTCCGCGTAATTCTGCGTATCGTCGGAAAGTATGCCGGAATCATTTCGCGACGAATGCAGCTCATAGTCGTCGAAATCTAGATCATTGGCCAAACTCTCGGCGTCCTTGCAGCGGAAGATGCTGGTTCGCGGTCTTCGATCCGTCAACGTGGCCATTTCCTTCACCCTGAGAACAGGTAACCGGCGATTCCCGGTCGTCGTGACAACCGGAACGTCATAATCCGCGTGCTCTTCCGTGAGAACCGCCGCATCCTGAAGAATCACCTTGGGCTCATCCGTTGAGCACGCCATGTCCTTGAGACGCAGCGTCGACGCCTCCTCCGTCTGCGTGTCTACGTTGATTCTTCGTCGTTTCATCAGCATCTTCCGCGAGATCTCCTGGAGCCTCGATCGTGCCATGAGACTGCTGGGAGACACCTTGGCCTCGAGGCTCTCCGTCGGCGAACGAGTGCCCGATGTGTTGCTGGTCGCCATATTGTTGCCGCTCTCCTCCGGTTGCTTCCTGCTGGAGTAAAGCCTCTCCGTGACAGCCGCGACGATGTCGGCGCGTTTGATTCGCTGAATCGCCGTGTGATGTCGAACACCGCCCGCGGTTGTCGTTGCTTCGTGATCCAAAGAATTCTTTCTACGTAGCAGCTTGTCGCGCGTCAAGCTCGAGATCAGAATCTGCTCATCCTTGGAGCTGCTCGAACTACTGTCCTTGCTAGTCTTCCTCTTCAGGTTCTCTAAACTCGGCTTTCTACCGATGTTGTAGCCGCCTGGCTTCCCAATATTGGAATCCTTCGAGCTCTTGTCGGATTCGTTGCTGTTCTTCCTCTGTAGATTATCCTTACTGCCGACGTTACCAATCGCTCTCCAAATATTTCCCGATTTAGCGTTCACCTTGCGATCGTCGATCTCGCGGATGTTGTTGAGCTTCTTCCCGCGATCGGGCAGCGTCGGACGCTTCTCTAAATTCGTGTGCGATCGCTGCAGGTGATCCAGAATCAAGGATTCCTTCTTTTTGTTGATACCCTCGATGGAGCCGAACTTCTTCGAGACGTTCAAATTCGACGACGGCAAATCGACCGAGTTTTGTTTGTTAAACTTACCTCTCGGCCCGCTTCTTCCAACGGATGCCGGACTCGGCGGGGTTCTATGCAGCTCACTGATCTCCGAGTCGCCCAAGGCGTTGCAGGAATTCACCGAATTGCTGCGCTCGTCAGGATCGACGTCGTCGAGCTTCTCTGTTCCCTCAAATTCCTCGTTGCCACCTTCTATAAAATCGGCGTCGATCGAATCTTCCTGCACCTCGTCGGAATAGATTTCTTCGATTTGCGTTGACGATTCCTGCAAACTGTCGTCCGGCTTAATCAACACGGCTACCAAGGTCGGTATATCTACGAAGACCGGCTCGTTAATCTCATTCACCACCTCGTCTTCCTCGTCGTTCAGCTCAGTGACCTTGGCCTGGTTGTAATTGTTGATGAAGCAATCGGGGACTCGTATATGTTCGTAGGAACTAAACCTTCTGAATTTTGAAGAGTCGATTTTACAAATCGTCACACTATCACTAGAGTTGAATCTTCTGATCGGAATCACGTCGAGCGAACTGTCATGCTTTGCTCGTGTAAATTCGTCCTTGCGATCCAACTCTTTAGGTGGCAGAATGTTGAGCGTTTCCTGGTCTTCGCGATACTGAGGATCCGTCGCCAAATCCTGTGAACTTTGAACTTTACCGCAGCAACACGATACTTTAGTCGGCTGGTCGATATCCTGCAACAAGGTTCGTATAACCAATATTATTTTAATTTTAACTGAAAGAGAATATAACGTATTCGCGCGGCAAAGTTTCTGTTACAACTATTATGTATACGTGGGTGTCTGATAGTATCGATTCTCTTTCCATAATTTTTCTAATTAGAGAGAAGAATGAGAAAATTGAGATTTTTTTATTTTCTATATAATATTTTTCTATTATATAATTTTTTAATTTTTTAATATTCTCTATAATATAATATTTTTTTCCTATTAAAAAAACATTAAAATTAGTTTGAATTTGTGATGATTTTTATTTTTTTACTTCATGTGACAATTCTATTTGACTATCTCTAGTTACATGTATATATAGCATAATTATGATATATTATTTGAAAAAGATTATTATTGCGTGTGTGTAATATATCATCTCGGATTCGAAATCCGACATAAAGGCTTCAGGAAATGGAACGTCAACGAAGTTGCAATTGCGGATGAAGCATGAGAAATTTAATTATGCGACACGCGGAAATGAAGAATAGCGTCTGGCTGATAGAAATGGAAACGCGGATACCTCGTTAAAGCGTAACGTATCGGCGTGCTGTATTTTATCAGCAATCGTTCGGCCGATCGCTCGCAACGGGCGCTCAATAAGTGTCAAATAAACGATCAATGAATCTCATTTGCGTAATGACATCGGACAATATCGCGCGGCGTCGCTCGTATTGGTAAACCCCGATAATAAACTCCCCCATCTACCCTTTCCCTCTTTCCCCCGAGACCCTTCGCACGCGAACTAAAACGCGACTGAAAAATCGGCCGCTATTTATCGCGGATCCGCGCGCTCCACGTCGAGCGAAATTGCGAAATTTGTTTCATAATGCCGCGCTATTACCGATCGCACGCCGCTCGAAACTCATTAATATTTTCCGCCGGCAGCATGAGAATATCTACAGCCGTGTTATAAAGTCGCTCGATCAACATCAGGCCAGGGATTAAATCCTTTCGTGTTTTTCAGTCTCGTCTCTGCCGGGCTCGATTTTTCATTTCGCCCGCGAGTCAAAAGACAAACGAGAAAATGGTATTAATTTTTCTTCGATTGAAAATCCGACAATACTTTTGCATATAAGAATGTTTGAAAAAATTGAGAAAAAACGTGTAAATAATATCTAGATATTTTATCCGATCTCTCTTTCTCAGTTTCTCCTGAATTTCTATTAGAATTATCGTAACTATGTTTACATCCAAAATTTTATGTTTATTATTTTTAAAGTTATTTTAATTATTTCAAAATTCCAAACTATTTTTTATTTCTTCTTATGCTTATATAAAGTTGAAGTAATATTTCTCTTTAGAAATTTTTTAAACAATATTTATGTGTGTTTCTTATCCTAGTCCAGTACTAAACGCGGATCCCAATTTGAAGTCCTTAGATAAAGGTTCGAGTAATTTGCGTAGTCGAGTAAAATAAATCTGCAGATTTCTTACCTTTTGCTGTAACAAGGATTTTAATCTGGCGACCTCGGCCCTTAATTCACGGATGAGTCTCTCCACGGGATCCTCGTTGACCACTGGTCGGTTAACCACGCTCTGCGCCCTTTGCGCAAATCGTAAGGTATGTGCAGTCTCGTTGTAACTTCCGCTGGCCGGGGATATTGCTGAAGAAAGACATAGAAAGACATATCAACGCCAAAAATACGTGTCAAAAATATCGTACGTTCCAACTACGACTATTTCATCCGTACAGTGCGATTTTCTGATTGATTAGCGGCTGCGACAAGTTTGCATTCTATAATTACAATTGTTTACAGCAACGATTAAGAATTAATCGATAATAATAGCGGATTGCTTTAATGGAACAATATCTACTAAAGAAGAGATCTACTGTCGCAAATGTCGCAAAATGCTTGCTGCATCGAAGACAAAACTACGAGATCGTGCGAGCAAAACGTCATCGCGTGCATTTTCTCGATATACAAAAATACCCCAATTTTTCATGGTCCCTGAAAAAAAAAAAAAAAAAAGAATTCGTTGCATTCATAAATCCGTAGATAATCCGTCAGATTAATCTCTCGAATCCCCGGATGTACGTCGCATCTATCGAAATTAATCGGGAGAAAATGTATACGGAGCGATTCTCTCATTCCCTCACTTAGATAAGTCAATCGAAAATAACTGTCACTTCTCTCCGCCGCGCCGAGAGAATTCAAAATGGATTTTGAGCGAACGGTATCTCTTTTCCAGACGTCGTTACGTGGTGAAATCGACATGTAAAATCTGCCATCATCGCGCCGGTGATATGTGGTCCGCGGGATAACACAAGTGCACTATACACACACTATTGTACACACAATCGCGTGCCCGCTGAATATTAAACGTCTCCCCGATAATAAACCGAAATGCTATTAGCAATTCAATTAATTGTCGATAATCAGCGGTTCGGAATATTCCGCTACGATTAATTATATATGTCGCCGGGCCCGGCTAGAAGTATTCGCTGCAAAACTGCTCTGTGTGTTCCCCGGCCAATTATACGGATCGACTCTTCCATTTCGGCAATTAATTGTGATGAGTCGAAAGAGGGAAGGCACCGCCTTCTCTCGAATAACGTCTCTCCACGTCGCGTCGGCTCAATCATGTCAACTTCGTTAGGGTTTATCGCGAAGCGATAGGAGAGAAAAATATTACGGTGATATAAAGGATTAAAAGTATAACATTAATTTCACGCTCTCTATTCCAGATCAATTTCAAGGATTTTCCGAATGTAACATATTTCTTGCTAATGGACGCTTTCAATCCAAAAGGATTATTCAAAAATAAAAAAGTTTAATCATTTATATTCATCTTTGGTATAGATAGATATATATTGAATTAGGTATATATATATATATATCGGTATTTTATTAGCATTTTTTATTCCGATTATTTTCGGTTTCAAAAAAATGGGACTTGCTTGAGAATAAAGATATTACTGTGTAAAACGCAATCCTCCCTACGTGCTTCATCTAACTACTAATAGGATTTTCTACGGGAAGATAGTATCTCCCTGCTAAAATAGCGACGATGATGATTCTCTTTTAAAACTTTGTTCAATTCGCGGAGCAACATCTATTCCCCCAACTAGAAGAAACTGTCATGAAGACAATCGGATTCAAATATCTCTTTTCAAGATGCTACGGTGAAAGATTAATCTGTCACGAAGTTCACTCGAGATTGAAGATTAGGGACTTTTAAATATTTTTCTACTTCTTCATGCTTCTCTAGAGATCTCAAGTTTCATTAGTATTGTTAAAAATTCATTAATTAACATTCACCTGAAAATATGAATCTTAATTTTTGTGCACTGTTTGAATTATTTTTTTCAACTTGTTTAATAATTATTACAGCATTAAAAACAAAAATTGCTATAGTGATAATCGCTCGTATTCATATTAATTCGACTTCTTGACAAAATTCTTTGTACTTTTTTCTTAAGAGATTCAACAGCATTCTTTATTAGATTCACTGATATTAATGTGATATTATTGTAGCAACAAGGAAATTTATTTCTTTTTTATTTTTGAATTACATTTTAATGAAAAATATTTTATGAATTATGTTCAACAGAGGGACGCGCGATCGATATACGCTACGAGAAAAATATTGGCGCTAGATAGTGGCATCGATCATGTGTTATTGCTACTGTCGCAAGCCCACTACAAACTTCTTATTTACCGCTTTTCGCGTCACTACCTTCTCTCTATCTCGGTTCTATCGAAATTTAATCTCCGCGTCTTAGCTCGCCTGGAAAAGCATTTAAACCAATTACATTCAACCCTGGTTATCGTGTGGATGGGAATAATTTCACGAATCTCGCGCAGACGCTGGTGAATAATAATTCTTCCTTGATAATTGTCAGAATGTAGGAAAAGACGGATAGCTTCTCGAGAGGAGAAAGAAGTGACTGACTTTTCGTTGTAAATCGACGGACAAAAATTGCTGTCAAAACGATATCCGAATAATTTTTTATTAATGAAGCGATCATGGAAGAACGCAAAACAAATTAGTAACAGAGCCGATTCGTAATTGACTCTTTTAGTACACGTTGACTTGAGAAGGGACTCGCACTAAAAGGATCAATTAAGCGATGTCGAATCAGTCGTTGAATTTCAATCTGCACCGAAAGGCAACAGAGAGAAAGGATATTAAAATGGAGGGTTCGAGATCAAAAGAGCTTATAATTTCCTCGCGAAAATACACACGGCGAAACGAGATTTACGCGGGCGGAATATTCTCGGAAGGAAATCTCTTAACGTCGATAGAACGTTCCAAGATCGCGAGAGAGTTGGGAAGGAAATGCGAGTTTATAGGGGAACCGGTAGGGGAAAGATCAAAAGAAGAGGAGAGACCGACATACACTTACTGGCGAGCATAACGGTGGTGGCATTTCCTCCGAGTGCATCCTTCAACAGCCAAGTGAGAGAGGAATCCCTATAAGGTATGTATCTTTTGCTCGTCCCACTTCCGGTCGAGCCTTTCTCAACAAGTGCTGATATCACGTTTCCCAAGGCCACTAAGCTCTTGTTGATATTTGCGCCTTCCTACAAACGTAGCGAAAAGAGGATAACGAGAAAATATTATTGAAATTATTCATTAATATGGTAATTAAGAATCAAATATATCCTTATTTTTATTTAATAAAATTTATTTAATAACAAGAATAAAATAAATATGCTTATAAAAATTTATTTTATTCTCAATTCTAAGAAAATGCGTTTTTTAATACGTTTTAATAATTTCAATAATTGTACAACTCTTTTCAATAACCAGAAACATACTTTTGCACGTGAAACACCACCAGCGATATTCCTGGATTTTCTGCGACGTCGTGGTGATTCTTTCCGTATCTTAGAAGGCATAGTCACTTTAGCGTCGATACTCAATTAATAAATCGCACAGTTGATTATTAATTCACAGAACACGCGTAACATAATCCTTCACATATATCACCTTTAAACCTCGATATTAAAAATACATTTCTGTATTATTTTTCTTACATTTTACGAGCAAAGTTAAGAGAATGCAAGTTGCAAGGATGATTGACAGACATTAGAACACTGACGCACTGCGATATAACAACAAATAGATCGAGGCACAGAAGTGGAAACATTTCAATAACACGATAGCTTATTGAATGCGGCACTTCTTCGCGCTCGTTTGAATATTTCCTCGAGTAAAACTCTCTCCGGTGGTGGTCGATTAGCCGCCGCGATGGCGGCCGGGCGGAGATTGATAACTCGGCGAGGCTCCATCCCGTTCATTCGGTACGAATATCGATTTTCATCGCGCGAAATTCAACGGCGACGAATATATCATTCCTCCACCGACGAAGGATCTTATTTTTAGGGAATGACTCACCTTCAGTCGATGAACGCCGCCGCAGGTGGCCGCGCTCTCGCTGCCCGCCAGATCGACCAGGTGCAACCTGCTGGAGCCGGCTCGCTGAGTAACCTCCTGCCTCCCAGAAGACGCGGTGCCGTCACCGTCGGAAGGACCCTCGACGTCGGCCGTCTGTTCCCGGTTAAGATCGACGGTCAGCAGAGCGTGGCTGCGACTGCTGCTGGGATTCTGGAGGGTCGACGCTGTCTTCCTGGCCTTGTTGCCCTTCTCCACGTATGACATCAACGAGCCCAGACTGTGGACCACGTGGTGCGTTAATCCTGGAAGAGACGGTGTGATTGACGGAAGAGAGAGAGATGACTCGCTCGATTGACCTTAGACGTATCGATTGGCTTTTTATCGTTCAAGCGGATGGTGAGTGAGAAAAATAATATGGAGTATTGTTTGGAAATTATCATATAAGTGGCTATTGAAAATTAAGAAATTATTATCCAAGTTTCAAACATGGGAGAATGTGATATATATATACGTATTAAATTTATGAAGACATTTTATGATTTTGATAACATAAAAGAAATGGCGTTAATAAACGTTACTCCCGCGAAATTAATGATACATTTAACGCGATATCTGAGACACAATGTTTAATATACTACTGTATTTATCTCTTTATTGGACTGTAATATAAGGCGGGGAAGAGATATTACAGCGCGAAGAAAGGCGACCGTGCGGAGGGAAATAAGCGGTGAAGATTTAAACAGCACAGACTTGAGTACACACTGAATAAGAAGACCCTCGAGGAATTTTAGCCGACCTCCTCGGTACGCGACATTTCACGGTAAACGCGAGCGAAGTACCTTGAACGTAAGGTCCTAGTCGAGGATGTTCTCGAACTCGGAGCCGGCTCGCGCTCGTCGACGGCTGCAAGAGATCCCTCACTTTCTCGTTATATATCTCCAGATAGCTGAAACAGATATATCATTTCAAAGGGACTCTCATACAATTCATATTATTTTTTCTTATTTATTATTTCACGATATCTAAAATATTTAAAATATATTGTATCTTAATAACTATGTATATGAGGATAAAAATCATCGTTCCACACACATACACATATATAATTAAATCACCAACACTATATATATTCTTCTCTCATGGCAGGACAGAATTTAAGGCGTATTACGGATACAACCGTGAAAAAATTTATCGGTAGATTCATAGACTCTTGAAAGAAGAAAAAAGAGGGATAACTATGATCTTGAATTGCAGCGCGATGGACGAGAATACGACGTGTTTCGAAGACGAAGACGAGCACGAGGAGACCTCGCACATGGCGACACGTGAGTGCAACATGCGAGAAAGCTTCTGCGGATCCTCTTAATGTCATTATCCGTGCCGTTGCGCCCGCGAAACGTTCGCACGTGCGCCCGTAAATCGGCTTAACGGCACGATCGGGCAGCCTCGAACGGACGGTCACGTTCACCAGGTAAAACAACCTTCTCTCTCTCTTCCCTCTCTGTTTCGCTCCATCTTTCATCCCCTTTTTCTCCTTTTCTCCTCATCGCATTCCGCGACGCAGCCCCACGTGGGTCTTCTCGATCTACACAAGAGCTAGTAGATGTTTTTTCAAAGTTTTCAAATACTGAAAAAAATGACTCAATTGATAAATATTTATTTCAATAAAATACTTATAATATAATATAAATAAAATATTTATTTAATAAAATATTTATTTGAAACAGATAAATATTTATTTGCTTGGAAAGGATTTTCTTATATCTCAAATAAATAATTTATTTGGTAGTATTGAAATAAATACTTATTCGAATTCAATAAATTTTCTTCAATGAAGTATCTCAGTAATAAATGGGTAAAGAATTTTTATGACAAATGACACAAATTGGGCTACCTTTTAGATTTTTGCGAAATGCTGAAATAAAGAAATCACATAGTTATATAAAATGAATTATAAAATAAAATATTGACATTTTTATTATCTTATTTAGTCCATCTCGATATTTCTAAAACAAGGATCTTCCATTTCTTCATTGCACACTTTGCAATATATACAATACAAAATATTTCCGTTTGTGCATAATAATATAATTTAAGCCAAGTCTCCTTTTTATTAGCTCATTATTTTTCTCGTATCTTAATCGTTCTGTGTCTCTGAAAAGAAAAATAGCTCTTAAAAGAATTATACGATTGTCCGACTTTTAGAGCTCTGTTTACAACCGATTGTACACAGGTGTACTCTTATATTTCTCGAAAAAAAAAGTTTTGCCGTCCATCTTTCTTGACCCGAAGATACACCCGCTTATCGGGTTACAACGGCCGTTACAGCGACGTAAATTGTGCGACAGGGAAATTGTAACCGAACAAAAAACATAGTACAATGTTCCCGACCTCGTTCGCGAGAAAAGAGCTAAACGCAAAACTTGTCAAGAAATCGTTACATCGCGCCGAATTGGGCGTTTACCAATTGAAATTTCCTCTCGTTTTTCGCGATAACTTCAGAAAGACGTAAAAATGGCGAAAGATATTACGCGAAGTTTCGGGTGAAACACGCCAAGTATTTTCTTCCAACTTTTTGAGAGCGATGAATCCTTCGTGCCATGCAATAAAACGATTCTAACATCATCGACAATTCCCCAATTGCTTGAAAGATCTGTTTAAAAATCAAAACGAATTGGTTAGAGAACAATTATTTCAAACTATATAATTATATACTAGAAAGCAATTTTGCTGCGTTTTAATAAATTTCGTTCTACGAAAGAGGAATACATGTAATTATTTTTTCACAATTTTAATAACAAAGTATTGAATATATTTTGATGAAAGGATAAAATCTACATAATTAAAATGCATTCCTAATACATTGTGGTTGGTAGTTTATTTTTGCATGATATACAACTGGCGAGTCTCTTCAAACTCACTGCTATCTCCTTATTAAGGACACCGGATCTCTCGAGGGAAAATCCATGTGACGCGGACTCCTTCGAGAATAAACCCGGACGACACGACAGCAAAGTTCGATAGTCGATAGTTAATGAAAATTAATATCCTACATTGAATTATCTCTAATCGATGACGTCCAATCTCGCCGATCTCTAGAGAGACCATCTCGTTGTTTAATTTACTCTAACAGAGCAATTCATACCGTTTCACACCATTATCTATTGTCGCCATTGATCGAACGTAACAATATTTGCCAATAATTATAATTTACCGTGTATTATATTTTATTTTATTTTTATATGCACGCAAAACGTCGAAAATGAGTGTTGTGAAAAAAGAAAAAACGTAGATTTTGCTCGAGAAATCACTCGGCTCGTCGAACTCGAAACGGTTCGCGTGTCTGATTTCATCCCCCGTCGACAAGACGCGCGAGGGAGAAATCAGCGCAGGCGTTAATTACTGTTAATTAATGATATTCTCGGGCGCGAAAACGGCGGGTGGGGAAAACGTCGAAGGTCATTTATTAGCGCGAGCCTTAAACTTTTCGAGTGTCCTCCGACTGTCGAAACTGGGAAGGGTTGATGAATACAAGGGGTTGGTTCTCGCGAAAACGACGGCTTTCTCTTTTTCGTGTCTGGCGAGTATTACGCTCATCGTAATAGGAATCGATTTTGCAGACCCCGATATCTGAAGGACGGGAAAACCTTCGGTTTTATTATGTGGAAAGGAAGAAATGATCGTGGAATGAATTGCCTGTCGCGCGATATCATTCTCGAACCTGGTGTTATCAACAGGAAATACTTGGCGCGTTGACCTATTATACGATTTCTTTATTCTCACTAGGAAAGATAGCACCTTCAGAGAGAAGATAAAGCAATGTTGGTCAGTAATTTTCTCGCTCTTTCTTTTACCGACACTCAAAATCTTACAATAAATTCGATATTTCATCGTTTAAAATACCTGATAAATTAATATCGCGTATTTATTAATATGTATAATCTACAAGAAAGTTTATAAAAAGAGTGACATAAATAAGTTGCCGGACAAGAGAAGATATTTTTGGGGAAGCAGATTTTAAAAATACCATTTGTGCGTCGCTGTGAGCGAATAGAAAGGGACAGGGAGACAAAGAGACAAAGGACTTCCGGCTCCGAGCGACGAGAATGATAAAGGTAAAAGTTGTAAGCTTCAACGAGCAGAATGCTCGCGATAAAGACGCTTCCGATCACCCTCGATAGTCCTACGTGTAAAAGCCCATAAAGGGCTCTCAGAGTTAACTGACCTGGGTCAACGTTTTTCCCCTATGCTCCACTTACGTTCGCGTTAGTTCTGTGAGATAGACACGGCACAGAATTTGGGCAAAGCTTCAAAAGTCTTTCAGAGACAGGTTCCCAAATTTTTTTTCAATATATATATACGATATATATATATGTATATATTATATTTCAGTCTTATTTGAATTATTCGAAATTACAAAGAGCTTATGATTCTTTAATTATTTATCTAATTTAAGATCGATGAAATTTAATAAAATTTATATCTTTGAAAAAACATTCGGATGTATTTTTATCGCGTGTTTTTTTACGATTTATTTTTATTGTTTTAAAATCAGGTAAAAGTAAGCAAATGGCAATATCCGATACGTAAACGAACGAATAATCGATACAAACAGTTCGTTACTTTGTGCAATGGTTATTTGAGATAAATCAAAATAAAGCACGGCTCGCGGACCACGTAGTGTCGGGATAATATGAATTTGTTTAATTATTATGTTTTTTATAGATATAGCTCGCGGACATGGAAAATTACTTTGTTCATTTATTTACAATGCAAATGCGAGAAATTACGTATGATATCGTAGCGCAATAACGTAACAGTAATCGAAGAATAAATACAAATGTCCCAGTTACGGTCAGTCTGTCATGATATACTTTTAACATGCAATATTCACGCGAAATACAATTATATTTCGTTATATTTAACTGTGCTGCTTTCGAGCAGTCAGAACCTCGTGTGCACTTTTTGTAAAAAGAGATCAATCTCTTTTTATTCTTTTGCATTACATGTCGGCTTTTTTCAGACAAATAAATTTAGTAACAAATAAAAGGATAAATGTAGTAATAAATTTAAACCAAAAAAATCTCATAACATTAATATGAAAAATTCGCCAATTCTTTAGACATTACAACGTAGATACAGAACAGGGTGTGTGTCTAATTAATCAACGTTAGTGATCATCAAACGTTGAACAAAACAATGTGTATATCACCTCCATATCATCTCCAAAACAATCCGTTGAGTGCGTCATCGATCAACAATTATCGTCATTAGGCATTTGACATTTAATGCGCGTCTAAGTCGCATATCCCACGTGATATAGCATGCCGGTCGGCTCTTTCCGTCCGCAATGAAACGGTGAGCCATCAAAAGCTCCGCATTACTTATGGCTGATTGATCGATAGAGCTCTCCCTTCCCTCCTTCCGCCCTTTTGCGTGGGTCTCTGTCTCTTCCCCTTCTCACTCTCGACAGAGAGCTTTAATTCGACTCCGAGCGCGTTTTCGATTACCGCCCTGATCATTACGCGATCGCGACCGAATCGCAAATTCAATTCGATCCGTCTCTATTTGCCGAATTGGCTGTCATTTGGCGCATGCATCCGTTCCATCCGGAGAAACGAACGCGTTGCAAAAATTTTGCGCTCTCTATATTCAAATGGGAGTTCATTTTTTCTTCCGGTCCAGGCATTTAAAAAAGAATTTTTTTTTTCTTATGGCTTTAAGATGCGGAATTTCTGTATCAACTTTTTTGTAATCAAGCTTTCTCATACAACATTCTTTGTTTTTAACTAGTATGGTGAATCTTGCGTAAAACCTTAATATCTATTTATTAGAAATATGACATTTTAACCGAAGATCTTCAGAATTTAATTGGAACGCGTTTACGCTAATAATTAAGAATCTCACAAGCAGATTATTTTCCTCAGAAAAAGACCGTTATTCGGA